AAACCGTCTGACCTCCTGTTTTTGTCATGAATTAGACTATTCCTTAGCAGCTATCCCAGTCGGCTGTCGCGTTTTCGGCAGACTGAACCTCATCCACGTCGTATCGGAAATTATTATTGCAGACGGAGCAGTTGAAAATGTCACTCCCTCGGTCAGGATGTTCGGACCACACACATCCACACATGAAGGATATTCGAGGTACTATAATTGCTCATAGTAATATCGCGTCCCGCGAAACACCAGAAGCCGGACAGTTCAGTTCAGTGTATTTGAGGGAAAAACCCTACGCATTTGAGTTGCAAATTTGCCTGTACAAATCGTAACAGTTAGCAACAATGTAGGTAAATGGCATTACCAAGCGAAAGCACACCTATTTTTGCATAATTAGATTTGTTTTTAAGGTTGCGTATTCATATAAATCGCTTGTTTTTGCATTATGTGACTGTCATGGCAATGCTAGGATTCATCGCCCACGATCACATTGCAATCGCCTCAGCAAGTTAATTCATGGTTCCACTACGTGGCTTGAGAAAAGTACTTTCTCACATTCAATCTGCCTTGGAGCGCCCGCAGTTTGAGGAGATGGCCACGACAGTTAGTTTTAGCGGCAGGCTGTAACAAGTCGGTACACAGGAGGGCGCGGTCCAAACCACACATGATATGGAAGGTTTGTATCAAGTCCCTGCCAAACTGCCTATAGCTTGAGGGATGGGTATTCGAATTGTTTAGGCGGGTCTTGTATGACAAGGCTCCTTGAACTCTCGCAAATTTTATGACACCTCTGCGCTGTTCCAAATAGGTTATAATCATCCTGCATCCAGGGCCTCCAGGCTTTAATCGCATATTCAATACTCGGTCTTTTAAAAGCACCGGAGACTGCGCAGAAGTAGTCTTTATCGAAAAACCAGAATGTCCGCTTGATGGCGTACAGCATTGAGGTTTCGACTCTAGTCGTCTTTAGAGTGTTCGTCATCCAAATGTCGAGATCTGTTGGCGTAACATTCTGTTCAGATGGTAGATAAGCGTATCAGGGACCTGGTTTCAGTTTTCGGGACGCAGCACGGTATGCTTGTTCCAGTTGAACGACGGGTGCCATTTGCAGGAACAACTATTCCCATCGACAAGGATTTCTTTGGAAGTTTGCCTTGCTGACCGCACTTTGGATGGCCTTCCGGATTTTTACATTATCTGCAAACGTGGCACACTTACAGTCCACTTCTTACACACAGTCATTTTAAATAAGAGAAAGAGAGTCGCTCCCGATACTGAACCTTGTGTTACTCCGCTTTCTATGACCGTGCACCTCGATTACTGTTGCTCTACACAGACAAATTGAGGACAGCCGACGAGGAAGCCATCGACACGCTTAACAAGTTTGCTCTGGTACTCATTAATCTCAGCTTGTACATGATCAGAGGTTTTCCCGAAACAAATGTAGGCGGCATGCACAGTGTGCTTTTCATTGGGTGCTCTTGCCTAGTTTTCATAGTGTAAGGCAAGTTCGTTACACACGATCTTCCCCTAAGAAAACCGTATTACGCATTGAACGAATGGTTGTGGGTTTCTGAAATAACACATCAATGCCTTATCGACGGTCCTATCCGCGCATTTTCTGCAGGTTAATTTCAGACTGACGGGTCTGTACTTAATGACAAGTGCACGACTACCACTTTTGTGCATCAATGTGATCTGGGCTGTTTTCCGATCCATGGAAAGAACTCTAGCATCGAGCGGTTTCTGACACAAGGCGAACAATGGCCTAACCCATTTTCGGGCAAATTTACGTAGCAGTTTTGTCTGAATCCCGTCTGGATCAGGAGGTGCACACTCCTTCATGTAATATAGTTTTTTTAAATCGCATCTTTTTTTAAGCGCAATGTTTTTAATAATTGACGTATCCATGAGCTCGTAACAGAGTGGAATAAACTCCGCTTCTCTTGTGCAAACTGTCTGGAGGAACCGTGAAAAATTCTCAACTTTGTTTGTACTGTCAGATATCTTGAGACTTAGAATTTCTAATGGCTGAGACCTGACCCCTTTACGTGTGCTATTTTTCAAGCAGCTACAAAGCAATTTAGGATTTTGAATGGTTCAATAAAGCAAAGTACTGTCCAAGTCCCGTCGTATTTTTAAAATTATACCTTTGGCCGTGATCCTCCGGACGTTTTACTCCTCAAAGCTTATGCTTTTGTTGTTTGCACCAAACCTCTTCCACAGCCTTCCTTCCTTGTTGACCTCGTTTTTTAGACTTCGTGTTAGCCACTGAGGCGGACTAGTTTTTCTGAGTCTTGTTAAGGGACAGTAGCTTACCACGAAACGCAACAAAGGTTTCTGGAACAAATTCCAGTCCTCGGTGGCGTTTCCGCGGAATAAAGCATCCCAGTCTCTTTTTGATGTCTCATCTCTCGTTTGACAAATGCCTCCCTGACGCATATTTGACCTCATTTAGTCTACTAAATGTTGTACGACATATGGGCAGTACTCCTATAAAAGTACTTTACGATCACTTCGACCGATTGGAGGTAGGTAGTATGCCTCGTATATACTGCCAGGACCTTTTTTGAAGACGGGATCTAAGCAACCCCCATGTTTCCCTCTACGCAGTCTGGTCGGAATTGAGACACGCTGTGTGAGAAGTTTTAAGTGGTGTTTTAGGAGACGGTGATCTTAAGCACCTCACTTAAATATCTTTCCATCGAATGCAGGATGCGATGAAGTCACTCATGGAAGCAACATCAGGTCGACTAACGATCTGCTTTATGTTCTCCAGCAGGTAAGCATCTTCATTGAGATCAGACCCCAGAGGTCGGTAGATAGTCACGGTTCCAACGGCCCAAAATCCAGTGTCCCCATAATCATTCAAATAGCCTCCGTGTCTTCAGAAATTTTTTCGATCTTCTCACACGCGTTAAGTTGTTCTCCAACGACATGTCAACTCCTCCAGGCTAGCGATCCTTTCTGCCTCTCCTAAATAATTGGTGTTCCGGAAGCGTTATTTCGCAATCACTGACACTTTGAGATAGTTTACATCTGTTACTGCTATAACATCCGGACATATCGATTATCCGTATTCTCAGTTCTTCGAAATTCGATAACAGACTCCTGGAGTTGGTCTATAAGAAATTTAGTTTGGAACATTCGGCAGAGTTTGGGTTGGTTAGACTCGAGCTTGCCAATACTGCTTTGCCGTTGCCATCATTAGCATTGAATGGTCTCACAACAACACCGTATTCCTATGTATTACTCGTCCCTTGGAGATGGCTAGGCCGTGATAAGACCGCCCTGGCTCTGTTCCAGCAAACAATGAATGCAACGCTCCCCGGCGTCCAGGGCAGAATTGGATAATTTGGTGACATAATTGTCATGTGTCGCAACTCGTCCGAACTCGATGAGCGAGTGTGCGCAGTATTCATACGCGTGCAGGACTATGGCCTCCGCTTGAAGGCCGAGAAAGACCGATTCTCTTTTAGGCCAATTAAATACCTTAAGTCCCACTGTTACGCAAGTGATCTCCACCCAAGTTTCCAAAATGTTCATGCCATCCAGTGGATGCCTGTTTCCGGAGATTTGTCCTAACTTCGTTCCATGGCTTGATCACCTACCATGGCGTCTTCCTGCCGCCACCGCTGCATGATTTACGGGCATCGCTCAACCGCCAGCGGCTGAAAGCTGCCCCTTGTTGCTGGTCATCCGGCTCTGAAATGGCCTTCGTCCAGCTAATATCAGTGGTGTTCGGATCCGCTGTTCACGACTTATGGTCTGACAATTAGATCAGTCGTTGCTACAGAGGCTTCCAACCGAGGAATTTGTGCTATCATCTAGAATATTTTTTTCCGACGAAAATGAAAAGGTGATCATGCACGCATCTCGCTCGGAAACTTCCGCGAAGAGATATGACCAAATTAACAAACAGAAATTTGCCATTGTCTTTGCCATCGAGCTGCTGTGAGGTTACCATTTCACGTTGCTGACAGACCATAAACGTTGCTATCAATCTCCCGTTCGAGAAAGAGCATTTGGTTCTGTTTGACCAGCCAGCCTAACGATTGGCAACTATTCTTCTGACTGCGATTTCAACATCCCCTACCGCCGCACCATCGACGTTGGCTTGGCTGTCGCACCTTGCTGCCCCGTCTGTGGTCGTCGGTAACCTAGAGAAAACACCGTGATTGCTACTATTTCGCTTGAGGGCGACCTGTGCCAGCCAGCCTTCAGACATCATGCGGAACATACCTGTCACTACCCATGATATCCGATACGCTACTAAACAGGAACCCGTTCCCCGTCAGGCCATCACCTACGTACAGACCTGTTGGGCGGTCTCCTCCCTCTTTGTCGATCTTCACCAGCTCTTCATGAGCCGCTCATCATTATTTATGGTCTTTTCATTGTTTGCTAGCTGCTTTTTATATCAGACTGCCTATTTTACGAGTTCGAACTGAACACAGTGTCGTTTTTGTCTACTCCTCCGGAAATTCACTCGAAAATTTATTTTAATTTACTATGCAAGCAACCTATGGGTGCTAAATAAAACAATCTCTTTATCTATTTATACCCGTCTATTGACCGTAGGGGGATCCATCTCAAAATGTTCCTGCTGTGCAAGCCAATTGCATTATGCCTGTCTTGGTATCAGTCGAATGAGGTCTGTTGTCCACAATTCTGTATACTGTCCCGGTACTGACAGTGACATCGACGACCTGATTCGACACTGTTCCGGATGTCAGCAAGCTACCAAGTTGTCACCTCCTCATCCGCCAGTATCGTGGTAACTGCGGGCGAAGTCTTGATCGCTTGTACACATCTATTTCTTTGTCCCATTTTCCGGAGTCTCACATTAAATCTTGATCAACGCTTTCTCAAAGTGGCCTGGAATTACTTTGTCGTATCCGAAAACCTCACATGCCCCGCTGATCTCCTACAACACATCTTTAGTCAGCCCAGCTTACACGAACTCCAAGTTGCAACTAATGGTAACTAGTTGACTTTATCGACGTTCGATGGGTTCTGCTGCCAACACAATCCAGAGCATCCGTTTCCCGCCCTACCACCCCCAATCTAACGATCAAGAGGAGCGTTTCGCCGACATATCCAAGGTAGCCTTCCTGAAAGTTTATGGAGTACGGACTACGGATGAAATAGAATAGGTTTATTGTATCGCCGCTTGGGCACTGTCAGTCCCCTTTGAACTCAGGAAAAAAAATAATCCAGGCGTTCTTGTTTTCTTCCAGGACCACTAGGAACTCGGGATCCCCTGAAAACGTTTCTCCTACCGAAGCGCTAATGGGTCATAAATTACGTGCAACGTTTCATGCGCCCGTCCCTACCTATGTGCAGTCCGTCTGGACACCTTCAACGACCACTCACAGCAAACTTCCTGTCGGAGCACTCGTCATCGTTTGTGCTTATCGAACTGGTTTTCAGGAGTGGACCAAGACGACCGTGACGGTTCACTGAGGAAATACGTTGTTTGATGTCCACGTTGATGGCGACATCTGGGTACGTCACCTTCTTCATATGAACCGCTTTCTTTACCCGTTGTTGCTTCTGTGTCTTTAGACCACAAAATGTTCCCCAGACGCCGGACAAACCGTATGTGCCAGACAACGAGGCCGGCACATCTCAATCTACATCAGAAGCGGTACTAATCTACTTGGAGTGGAAGTGTTGGAAATTTCAACATTCCATATATGTCAGCCAAGCTCACCAAAAGTCACGTGCGCGCACCATCTTACGTGTGGCGAACGTACTATCGACAGCGTTTCGCCATCGTTTGCAGCCCCAGCGGCTCCGTAAAACTTGATTGATCCACGTCTGTGAGAAGTTTCTTGGCCATTCTAGAACTTCCTCCCTGAATTGATGCGGATAGAATATTGGCCGGTCTGAAGTGGACGCCATAAATACACACGGTTTTTCATTAAGGAGAGCTTGAAAGTTTTGATACGTTTTTGATGGTCAGTCATGTGTTGCTTCCCTGCCGCGTTTGTGTTTGAGACATCAGTTATGCACACATACGTTAGTGTTATTTCTGCGTAATAGGTCGGATCATAATAGTATCAAAGGCAAGTCAAATATTTCAACGGATACAAGGCGCGGAGAAACAAACCGAGAAGTCTGGTTATTAAAATGCGCTGAGAAGTCTAAACGAATTTGCTTCCATCAGCAACGCAAATTTTCAAATTACTTTACAGCCAACTCAGAAGAAGTGCGAAGAATTGGCACCAGTTCCCTCTTATGAAGACTTCTGAGGACGTTCAAACTGTTAAAAATAGAGTAAGGTTAAGTTTTTTCAACAGGCCTTCAAGTCCGTCTACACAACCAAGGATAGTTTCCTGCTTCTCACCGCAGAGGATCTGTCAACTCCAGACATGAACAATACCGTCTTTTCAAAAGACTTTATCCGAAAAAAACTGGAAATATCGGACGAATCCAAGTCTCTAGGAAAGACGAGATTGATCTAGTATATATAAGGGAGACAGGCAGAGTCCTTTAAAGTCTGGTTTACCGAAATATGATGATATAAACGTACATATATTTTCATAGCTGTACGGGCGCATAATTACGGTACTTGTCGATTGAATAGACGACCATCAAGTAAAGTGTTCTCGACTCTTCTTTTTTATAATGTGAATGCTCTTCTCCAGAACGACCGAATTAGGTAGTTTATCCTTTGCTTCAATCACCCGATGAGAGAAGTTGGCCTGTACTGCAACGATAGTGTACCTTGCTTTCAGGTTGCATCGGGGGACTTGGAAATTTATCATTTATGCTACTTCAGAAAAGTCGACCAAATAAATTGCATAGCCTATTACCTTTATGAGCTTGAGGACCTCGATTATATCCCTTCCGTACTGTCTACAAAAATGGAAAACGTTTCGGCCCTACTAATCGTCCCTCATAAGGTAGGCACGCCAGTCCGCCGATTAATTTGATCGCTCTTCGCTGTACATTCTCCAAAATAGCGTAGTCTTGTTTCATGCAGGGGCAACACCACTAAGCACAGTATTCTAAGGCCGGCCAGGTAAATGCTGCGAACACTCGACCAGAAAGCCTTTTGCCAAAGTAAAGGAGGGATATTCGGATCGTTCCCAGGATACATATAGCCAGTTTTCTATCCCGATTCAGTGAGACGAAGGCTAGAGTGTGGGTGCAATGCACACATCTAGATCCCTTATCTCGTTTAGCAACCCGAGTTCGTGACCTTCGGTAAATACCGCTTGGCGAAGTTGCCTGCTTGCCAGATGTTTCAATAAGACGCGGCTTTTTTCGTCGTCAGGTACTTCTTCTAAATAGAAATCAAGCAACTTTAACCAATCCCCGAAGTCTTCTTCTCCATCAAAAATATGAAATGAGGATGGGTTAGCGTGGTAGTAGGGTGCTGGTGTTCTTCTAGGGCTAGACGAGCTGTCGTGCGCGCTGCCACCATTGTAATATCCGAGATACCTGAAGGTTTAGTCTCGTCTGTAATGAGGCCTTTGGAGAGCGGTTGGGGTTTTTCATCTGTAGGGTCATAGTAAACATATCCATTACGGTTTTGTCTTGCACGGGATGTTTGTAAGTCTGACCGCACGAATTGCAACAGACAATACCAGAATTGAACTGTCGATAACGCAACGTTTATTAAATCAAGGGTTGGGAACGGGTCGAATCGTGGGTTGGGGGTCAAATGATAAAGGGGGAACGACAATAGAGTAGGTTAAACCAGAAGATATGCCCGAGGTTCTTCCGCTCCTTCTTGTCCGGGTGTCGGTACGCGTGACTCCGCCTTCTGCGTGTCCGCTTGGTGATCCGTAACCGTGGCTTCAAAGGAAGTGGAATATCGGTCAGGAGAACGTTAACTAAGGAATCAAAACAAACCTAACTAAAAATATCTGTCCTTTACAAATGAAACAGTGTTTTTCGGATCCCCCCCTCCAGTTCGGATATTACATACCGTCTATTTGCACTTTTCGTGACACACAAAGAAACAGTGGTCACTTGCTGTTACTGCCGCCTACTTACGCAGCTTCTTTTTGTTCAGGTCTGTTGGCTGCGGATTTATAAACATTCTCATTCTCTTATTTCTTCTACCATGTTTTGTGATAAGTTTCTTCGTCTTAGAGTTTTTCCTTGTCCCTTTTTTCTCCATCAAATACTTATGTGCCGTCCACCTGTTTAAGACGATTGAACTCGCCTGTGCTTTTTCTCCACTTAGCCTTTATGCGATGTCGTTTGTATATAAGGCCTTAGTAAAGGCAGGTGATCGTGTCGTCCCGACCGCGTTCCGGCCTGTTTGGGAACACCCTGCTGGCCCCAAGACCGTTTTCTTCTGGGCTCCGACCTTTAAATGGGTAAGCAACGTATTGTTTACAAACTCCCTCAGGGTCTCGTAATCGCCGGTTTGGCCGATCTTACTCGTCCCGTCGAAAAGGTTAGCGTCTACCAGAGTACAGCGTTAGCTGCTACTGGAGTTATTTGGTCGCGTTATTCAATGGTCATTATTCCTAAAAACTGGAATTTATTCAGCGTCAATTTGTTTGTCGGGGCAACAGGGATCTACCAGCTCTGTCGCATTTTCAGGTTTGTTAGACACATTATCCGTTATTTTTAGATACCGAATGCAGCAAAAGGTCACCCCTTAATATGCATTTGAGGCGAATACCGTCCCACGTTCACTGTTTCTGTGTGATGGCAGAAGTTAGGCCTTGTATTTGTAATTTTAGTCTTCCTTTTTTTTCAATAATATACATCAAGTTTCGCCAGTCAGGCATTTCTCATTTCCTGCTTTATAGGTTTCGCACACTCGACTGCATTAGTTTTCTGCTGGCAGTGCGCAAGGGTATCATTTGTGGCTAGCAGTATGCGCTTGACTCGCACCGTCATGCAAATGTCGCCTATACGGTTTCTCAAGAGTAAACATTCTGCCACTTAATTGAATTTAGGGTCGTGTCTCGCATTTTTGATCAAAAATTATCTGATTAGGGCAATTTCCTGCAGATGTGCTAGCAAGAACTGGAAGCGACTGTACCCTGTTCCACTTCCTCAGGCTGTCTTAAATATTTCTTTCGAAAACTGTTCCTCAACCAAGTCTAGATCACATCCCAAGTTACTCGCGCAGATGCTCAGCACCCACGTTTACAATCACTCGAATCAGACACAATTTGAAGTAGGTGAACTGACGTAGAGCTGTTGTTACGCTAATTCTCAGGGGAGGCATCAACTCGCTGCGTAGAAATCACGGTGAAATAAGTTTCCTTGGTGCTGCCATGTGAGTATCTGCGGTTGAACTCAGCATCTTTAGTCTGCATCGTGAGGCGCAGAAAGAGTCGTTGTATGTCATGGTGGGGTTGTTCGGTCGAACCCTCGAACACCGTCGCGGCCACTAGCGGCTCGCTCTCGTCTCTATCTCTGTATCTGACTATTCGTCGGTATTCTTTGCGGTTGGTCAAGCTGCGTAGTCGCATGCTGCCGAAACGACTTCGCATGGTGTGGACCCTTTATCGCAGAACAAGGATCGGGGTCCGTGTAAACAGCGAGAAAATTAACCTTTTTGGTGTCACCGGCGCCTAGGACTACTTTCTCCCAAGCTAAGTGGAAGTGTTCGATGGGCTGAGTCCTTCATCACTCACTGGCAGGCCGCTCTGACATTGTGCATCCGTGCATTGCAAATCTTAACCATGCTAAGGGCGTTAAGGTGCAGAAGCACGACGTGCTGTGTCCAAGCGCAGATGTACTAAGAAATGGACTCCAGAGCAAGGATATCTGCCTCTGATTCAGCTGCCTGAGATGTCTGCCCGACCACTGTAGACGCCGAAGCTCGTCTGCAGCCTCTGTTGCTTGAGTCGAATCTCCCGCCAAAGGGACAGGCTTGGAATGAAGTCGGACACCAGATCAGTCTGGCGCGCGGTCTCCGTCTAGTTTCATTGAGACCGTTACAGTCGCCCGGAGATTAACATGAAAGCCAAGCCGTGAGTGCAGGGACCCACATGAAGGAAATTCTATTGCATGGGTATGAGATGCCACCCATACGTGCACGGGACATATGCTATCCGGAAGTATTACATTACTGGTGCTTGCGGAGCATTATTCGAATTTCTCGCTCCAACCTCGTCTGCAACAAACCAATGTACAGTGGATCAGGAACGGCACAGGCCAACTTCACCTTTCTTACCCACCAGCTGAGGTGGTTAGACCATGTGCCATGTTGACCCGTAGGCGAGGCTGTCTTGGATGCCACCCCAGCCGAACTCGGTCCTCGTTGACGAGGACGTCGAGGTTGCCGACTAAAGGCGTAGGTAGATGATGTGAAGGCTGACCTCAGCCGCATCTCTGACCCTGCGGAGTTGCCGTGCCGAGTGCCTGAAATTTGTTCGGGGACCTGCCGTCAATCACCGCGGAGAGCGATTGCTCCTGATGTGGTGAACTTACGTAGTGGAATTGACCGATTCTGTTTTAGTACACACCGCTACAGCCGTTCTTCATTATCTCGCATGAGTCTCATTGTGTTTTCCATCTATCACTGGCCCTAAATACTCAGTTCCCCTAATTAGATTATTCACCCGGACGGTCATGTCATTAATGTTGATGAAAGTTCGTTGAGTCGGTATAAGTAGCATCTAACGTTGATAAGATGCCGTGTTTGGCATGCCTATGGACTGGTGGCCTTTGTAAGTTGACTGTTCTGATTTTGCTGTTCCATAGTCCCAGTCCTCCTTAGTGCCCTGTCCGAGTCTTTGTTTGGTCTCCCGGAAATAAGATAGTTGTATGCCCTACATTCCTATCGCGGTTATAAGAGGCAACGCATGGCCCTGTGAAAATTAGACTGACTAAAGTCACTCGTTTCTCCTACACGGAGGTGTTACAGGTGACGATCGTGCTTCGAAATGTGGGTGCCGGCTTTATAAAATCCACAACAGCCTAGACTAGGGTTTTATTCTGACCAGTGGAATTCTGGTAGAGTGCCTGCCCATGGTTTGAGTCAGTAACAGCTCCCTTTCAAGGCGAGAGTGGATGCTCTGCATCGAAGTTAGTGTTGTAAAAGTGATATCAAGCTGTCGCTTCATAGGTTGGGTTGTTACTAAACTACGAATGTGAGGCCTACAGTCCCTCCATGATTGTTTTTGCCCCTGCTCCTTGCTTCAAAGGTAGCCTCGTGCCTTCTGAGAGCTCTGACAATAACAGATATTATTGCTACAAATCCAGTTAGTCAGGGTGGTCATAAAAATCTGCCCCGCCTCACGCTGCAAGAGGGTTGAACTTCTACCTATTAATATTCTTCGTGAACAATGTAGGAAAGGGATAAATCTTGTCTGGCTTAATCTGGCAGTTTGCGTGTTCGAAGAAGCCTATGTATTACAGACTGTATACGATCCTGTTCACACCCTTTCATAGTAATTTGTTTCTCTGGGAGTTGGTTTTGTTTGACGTGCTACCGACAAAGGGATTGAGAGATTAAAGCAAATAATTATCATTTATTTTCCGTCATCGATCAACCATAATCCAGCCCAGGAAAACCCGTGCTCGTTGGGCAGTGGCCACTGAATCAGATGCCCTATTGCTGGTCCATGACCTTGATGACTTTCCTGGGACGTAGACTGGATAGGTCGCCTCTCATCAGATATTTCGGGTCAAGACGTCCGACGTAACACCAAAACCGCTTAATTGTTGCGAATTTGGCGAAATAGTGGACGCGAACACCCAGGATAACGCCTTCTAAGCCCGATCTAGGTATTTACGCGGAGATTCTAGTTGGTGAGCGTGTGCCTCCACGGAAAGGTCGCGCAGTCTCCTCATACGATAGTTGTCGAGCAGCATAGTCTTTGTGTAAGAAGGTCCAGTTACAGTCGCAGGCTTCAACTGATGATAAAAATCTGATTTGTGGATAGGCGAGAAGTTATTTGTACTGCCCATCTGTCGCTGGACGAGGTGGCCATCAAGTCGATACCCTGCCAATGAACTCCTATGGTCACGAGGGCGTCTTCTTGTTTATTGTCTCGATGAGATACACGATGCCAGTTTTTCCTCACCGCTTAGAAAAGAACGTAAAACGAGATACGGGAGGCCACGACTGTACCTGTAATTGGCGCTTGCGATCCGTCGTCGAGGCTGGATCATTTGCATTCAGCACACCATAGGGAGGTTTTTAGTAATCACCACTCACATATCCCCAGATCTAAACACAAATGGTGCATTGGTAACCTAGAAAGGCGTATCAGTCCGGAAATTCATGTCTACAGACGGTCGCGGTGCACAGCGCACAGACGTATAACCTTGTGCAAAAACGTGATGCCACATAGTAGCTCACTTGGACAAACATTTAGTTTAGTGACGAGTGTTCCAAGTACAGGCTAGGTGTGCCTCGCTTATCCCCCTTAAGGGAAGTAAAGCGTACAAATACGTCCACAGTTCCTTAAAAGCTAGGGTACTGGATTACAGACCACCCGTATCACACATGACATTGCGCTAAATTCTAGGGGGTCCGGGTTAGAGTTGGGACACATGAATAGCCCCCCCCCCACCCCCCCCGGAATTCAGCACAAGGCCACTTGTAGTACGTGAGAGCGGTCTGTATTCCCGTGTTCGTCCCCTTAAAATACTTCTGGGTGCTTTGTTCCCCTCCTAGATGGCAAGCCATTTTGTTTGGATTAGAGTAAGATAATCTGTTCCTCTCATTCACTAAAAGTCGTTATTTAAGTTAAAAACAGCACACTGACAGTAGAGCACGTGGTGTTGCCTCAAAGTGTGGAATTTATTTCTGGTCGAGAGAGTACTGCCTCGTTCATCCTCCGAGCGCAACGATTATAACAACAACACCTATGTGAGTGTTTGTAGTGAGCTTTCAATCCTTCAACTTGCTAAAAAGGCATCGTGTCCGGGCTGAACGTTGGACTCGAAACATGCTCAGTAGGAGTGAGGTCCGTAGCTCGGGAGAACCAAGGAAGGTTTGAGTCGGGCGTGCTGGTTGCCGCGCGGGGGTGCTGTGGTAGCCATTTTGCTATATTCCTTTTTATGCACAACTTTTAGTTACTCCAGTTGTTAGGCGTTTTTATAAACACACCATTGTTCAATCTTGTTTAGGTTTCTGTTTATTGACCATTAAATGACACACCCATCGGGCGTCGGCGACATCAAGGTCCTTTCCGGCGTTGCACTTTCAGTTGGCCGCTTTGGACTTGCTGTTAGCTTGAGGTTGGGCTATGGGTCGTTGTGACTCGCCAGTGTCGCCCTGGAGATTGAATATTGGTGTATCCGTGGCCATTAGTCAAACTGTTTTTGCATTATATCCCTGTGCTATTCTGCGCCAACAGTCTGTTTAGTAATACATAGATCACCTCTTACCTGTGCAATTTGTCCCGCATACCCCTTTGGGTCGGTTAGCTCTGCAGTAGTTTGTTGATCGGGAACCCGCACGCAGTCCTGAGCCACCTAAACTGTGATCTTTTACGTGCTGCTGCACTCCGGTCTAGTCCTCTTTTTTGTGATTGGAATTAAGCAAGGCCATCTATTGCCCAGACCTGCCAATCTGGTAATATCAATTGTCATTTCTCGCTGTTTGTGATTGATTACTGTGCAATAACTATGTTCCATCTTTCATTAATTTGGAACTCTGCGCCAATCTGTGCCCAAGTAATCGTAAGTCCCAACGTAAGCTACAGTTCCTCTTGAAATTTAGACATTTACTGAGGCGCTAGTTCTGCCTTTGCCATGTAAACGTCTGGACCAGTAGGCTCATGGACGGGTAAGTGGACCCATTTTACTCACCGACGCAGGTGTTGCAAACTCGGACATTACTTTTGGTAACGGATTTAGTTATTGCCAATAATTTTTGTTCGGACATCGAGTGATGGACATCGTCAAGCGAAAATCGACAAGGCGGGACTCGAGTTCAGGCACTCCGACAAGCAGGAAAGACCTATGCTCATTAGGCCACGAAACCCCTAATTTCGACATGGCTGCTTGTCGGTCGTTTCATTAGACCATGGTCTTAACTCACACTCGGCCGTTGTGAAATGGGCGATTGGGACCCAAAGCGCCGAAGGGGACACTGCCTTTTCGGACTGACTGCTAAGTCATTTCCTAAGCTATCCCTCTGAATGGCAATGTAACTAAACGGCATTTTACTATAAAATGGGGTGCAAGTCATTCGATTTTAGCCTTCTGTGTTTCTAAGTTCGTACATGTACACCGTATTAACTAGTCTACAACAGCCGAACAACTCGTTAGCCCAATTGGCTGGTAGATAAGCGTCAATTTTACCAACTAAAAGGGTCATTACAGCCAGTAGAGGGGGCCCACGCTAGACTTAATAACGCTATATGACCAAATAAAGCGGGTTCGGATCAGGGGTCCTGCAAGTCCGGGATTGGGTAGGGCCGACTGACGACGGTTAATAAGCCGGTAATGGCCATTCCAGTCTTCCTTGTCTTTGTCTGTACTCCCCTCCTGCATATACTGCTGGTCATTGTGGAACCGCCTGCGAAAGCGTAGGGTTGAACCCCTAGGCGCAACGGACAAGCATGTCTCGTAACACGATCGTGCAAGGCTGGCTGGCGACGGCCAATAAGCCAGAAACTCGCACTCCCGTTCCCATCTTCTGTATTGACGCACTCTTCTCCATTGCAGTCTCTCTGGCAGTTGTTGGTGAAAGGTCTTGATTACTGATTGGTCGTCGTCACGTTAATGGCTGTTAGGTCCCTAGGATGGAACCAAAGGATAAAGCGGAATGCCCGCTTTTCGTCCCTCAATCTGTCCACATAATTGATCGCCTCGCCCAGACGACTTGAATATTTCTGATAGCATACTAAACCAGTTGTTAACGATAAATTGAACTCGGGTTCAAGTGTTGGATCTTTTGGGCCTGGGGCTGGGAAGTGGTCGCCTGACGATTGCAGTGAAGTCAAAAACGCTCCATCCGCACCAACACGGCCTCAAGGGGGGATTTGAAACGTTTGGTTTCCACTAAAGGTCCGCCTACCTAAAATCACTTAAAGTTATTCGCCAACATAAATTGCAAGATGCTTTTCGTCCTCTCTTACCTTAGCCCAAGTTATCTGCTGCCTAGATTTAAATAGGCCCCAGTTCAGTGTCCTAGGCCTAGGTACAATATTTAATGAGGCGACATGGGAAGCAATCACGACTGACATCACATCAAGTCTCACGCTACACACACCTGAATGATCAGGAGGTGGACCGCTCCCTTTCAAATTGACTCCCGGAGTCGGTTATTTTGCGCAAATTAAGGAATGCCGAAAGTGGACTGAATTCCAGCCAACAGCTCGTCGACTTACCATAGCCGCATAAAATCTCTGGTGAATAATGCAGTCCCTTTGTATGTCGGAGGGAACAGTTTATTCTGGCTTTTCAGTTACAGTCTATTGTACGCAACGCAAAGCCAATTCCCAATAGAGTTGAACGCGTGTTGGCGGAGTTGTCACGATTCCGAGTTTCACCATTAAATGAACAAATTTTGGATTCTAGAACAAATCAAACTGTGGTTAAGGGCGATTTCCTCTTGAACTTAGCTTTCACTAAGTGTGTGATTAACTTTACCCATAGAAAAGCACGACCGGAATGTGCTACGCGATTGCATTTGAAGAAGTTCACCGTGGCCGCTCCTAATTAAAATGATAATGAAGGCCGATTGGAAGCATAAAATGTCCCCAGTCGATAAAATGTTGCACATATGACTTACATAACGATTCAAGCGGACGGGGCGTTATCATGTCCTCGGGAAGCAAAATAAACTAACTAGAGGTCTGGTGAAGCCATTCTTCACCAGAAGTGTGACCAGTTGCCTTTGATCCAGGATGCGTGACCGATCTCATAAAATATTGGCCAAAATTCTGGAATGCGTTTCCGATTACGAAGGATTACTTAAGTGGGGTTGTTATACTGATTATCTTGCAGCCTAACCCTATAACATTTCGGACTCGCCAGGATATCGGCTTTTGAATGCACTTCTTTTTGACCTCTTGCAGAAACCACACTCGGTAAAAAATGACTCCTTAAGTAGCATGCATTTTCCCCATTGATTTTCGATGGTCCTATAAATTCAAATATATTTTATAGAGAACATGCACCAAACTATGCTTTCTTTTGTTCATTTGGTAGGAAATCACATTGTTTTCATATTTTATGCCCGAAGAAAGTGTGTATTTAGGCTTTGAAAAGTTTTCCAGTTCCCGAATAATTTCCAGCCTGATCTGCCATCGCATCAGCGTTTAGTAATTTCAGTCTACAAGGTACATGCTTTCCGCGTAAGGAAAATCATATACCCCTCTATGCCTTTGAGAAGATACCACGTAGAGTTCATGAAATTTTGCAATAGATCCGGACTGTGTTGCACATTTCATGAGGAGCATTAGTAAACGGACATGTGCGGTCCTGCATGCATGGACATCGCACGGTCTTAAAATCTCATAATTAATAACTTTTAAAAACCTAAATACAAACTTTCTTCGGGCATAAAATATGAAAACAATGTGATTTCCTACCAAATGAACAAAAGAAAGCATAGTTTGGTGCATGTTCTCTATAAAATATATTTGAATTTATAGGACTATCGAAAATCAATAGGAAAAATGCATGCTACTTAAGGAGTCATTTTTTACCGAGTGTGGTTTCTGCAAGAGGTCAAAAAGACGTGCATTCAAAAGCCGACATCTCGACGAATCCAAAAGGTTATAGGGTTAGGCTGCAAGATAATCAGTATAACAACCCCACTTAAGTAATCCTTCGTAATCGGAAACGCATTCCAGAATTTTGGCCAACATTTCATGAGATCGGTCACGCACTGTAAGTTGGTCGCGGCAGGAATGACTTACGGGGTGATTTAAGTTGTAAACAGTAGAAATGGTGATCCACACATCCATAATTGTAATGCTAAGTTCGGAAAATATAGACGGGTGCTGGAGGAAAAATGGGATTGTCCCCGAGCCCGATAAGTCCTCCCGCACGCCACCTAGGATGATAGGGTTCATCTCCACATGCCACAGTTGGTCCGAGCATAAGCTCGAGCTATCACCGGACGGTTGAACACGCCTGGTACCCCCTTAGCCCGACGGGGATGGTTATTTCGCGAGGAAATAAAGAAGCTTCGAAGCCAGATGTTTGCTCGTAAATTGTTGACTGGTCAGTGACGACCTTGGTCAGGTGAAATAACTGGGCGGAGTCCGATTCGCGTGTTAGAGGTTGGGAGTTACAGTGAGTGACCGATCCCATGAAATGTTGGCTGAAATTCTGAAATGCGTTTTCGATTAGGAAGGATTACTTGAGCGCGATTGTAATAATGATTATCTTGCGGCATAATCCTATAATATTTCGGACTCAGCAGGATGTCAGCTTTTGAATACAGTGCGTTTCAATCTCTTGTAGAAATAGCTTAGGTAGCATGCATTTTCCCACTGATTTTTGGTGTTTCTGCAAATTAAAATATATTTTAAAGAAACCACGCCTAAAAATATGCTTTCTTCCAGTCGTTTGATAGAGAATATCATCATCTTTACATTTTGTACTCGAAGAGGGACTGCAATTAGGTTTTAAAAGAGTTTTCTGATTGCCGAATTATTTGGAGTCTGATCATTCATTGCATTAGCACTTAGTGATTTCAGTTTACAAGGTGCATGCGTTCCGCGTAAAGAAAATCACATATTTTTCTATCACACGGAGTCCATAAAATTTTGCAATGGATGCGGACTATGTTGTTCACGTCATGAGGAGCCGTGGTAAACGGACAGGTACGATGCTATGTGAATAGACATTGCGCGGCTTTAAAGAATCTGGAAATTAGAAGCTTTTTTAAAAGCTAGAATGAGAGATGCGATCGACGTCCTCGGTGGTGCGTGACGAACAGCAGGCCAGTGGGGAGCGAAGATAGCGTGTTGTTTTGACCGAGCTGTAGAGATGGGATCGACGAGTGAGATGCAATCAACAAAAATGCCGTCACAAGCTGGCGATACTGATTCAGTTCTTGCTGATATCCTAGTCAAGGCTTAGTTTGCTGTAGTTCTGAATGTTGAGCAGACACAGGAGCACCAGACTGGGACAGGGCTTTTGATACAGATACATAGTCCGTGGTAATTTAACGTTCGATGTTTTCTAAAGTACATCTGGGGCCAGTGCATGAACGTCTGTCGGAGTGGCGGAGAACTTGGAGTTTCAGCGACAGCCGGGCAAAGCTACCACACGAAAGTGGATTCCTGCGGTGAGTTAACATTGTCAGCCAACCCTCAACCTAGGCGGTCAAAATAGTGTTTGCGGACTCGTTTTGCGCCCATGGTCCTGAAGCCCACCCATTGTAAACCCTCAACCGAATGCTTCTGAAAGTAGTCGCAAATAAACGTCGAAGCCGTATTCCCCATGTGTTTTTATGCGGACCATGCATACGAGCGTGCCAATATTTGCTTGCACTCTGCGTCCACCGCAAAACGAGGAAACTACCTTTTTGACAGGCTTCACTCAAGTCTGAGAAGCCTTTATAGGTTAGTATCGCCTGAATACCACTAATGCAGTTGCACGGCCTCCAAGACAGAACTCTAAGGATTGTCGCTTTTTAATTTCCTCAGAAATTATCTACGAAGCCCATGGGCTTTTGGCTAGTACCTGTGCAGTTAGTATGGTATCACCTTACCCAAGAGTATACTACTAGCTGCCTGTCGGCAGTTAATGAATATTACGCGGTTACCCGCTGTGGCTGATGGACTTTGGCCCAAATATTCATACATAAAATTCTCGGTTTGTGCCTTGAATAAACTGATCTACTCCAACTTCCTAGATAAATTCTGAGGAAATTAAAAAGCGACAATTTCTTAATTGGAGTATCTACCAGAAAACACACGGGGAATGCTGGGGGACCCTCTGACGAGCCGAAACCCCTCGCAGCTGCGCCATGCAGCGGCAAAACATCGGCGAAACACGCGTGTATGGGCTTTTGACTAGTACCTGTGCTGTTAATATGGTGTCACCTTACCCTAAAGAACTCTAAAGAGTGTTATTAGCAAGGAAGTGTCTTCAGAACTGTTTCTCAGGGGTTCTGCGCCGGAACGCCCCTGGTGCCCTCCTGTGCAAGGGGGAGGTAACTGGCGGATGCACTGAGCATTCGCAATGCGCGATCCCGTAGAAATTCTTCCAGACAATATGTCACCTGGTTTCAGATCTTCGTTGCGTTTGAAATGATTTATTCATATTTGACCCAACTCAGTGGGATTCGAACCCACGCTTCAGTACAGCCAACTCTCTAACGAGGCCCCGCCGGACGACGCGAGTTTAATCACATTTGGGTCAAGTTTACCCGCCCAACCTACTGCAACGTCTGGAATCCACCAAATCTGATACAGTAAGTTGACTGCCCAAGCAGGATTTCCTAAGTACTTCACCTAGAATCCACCAGATAACTACCAGGCTCACGTAATTTACTCGCGTCGTCCGGCTGGGCCTCGTAGCTCAAGTGGTTAGAGCGTTGGCTGTACTGAAGCCTTTCCCTTACTGCATGGGTTCGAATCCCACCGAGGCGCCGAGTTTTTCACAGTTGGGTCCGTATGAATTATTCAAAATCTGCCAAAATGTCTATGAAATGATTTAGTCAAGCAGTAGAGACGTCTCAAATTTCTCACACAACGATCCTAGAGACAAAAACTGGAAACGAACAGTGTTCCTGCGGGAATAAGTACCCTCCGCACCAAAGGTGACCTTGCGCTAGGTTCCAGAGGTGGGTTGGATTTGGACTTAGTAGTAGGGTCAAGGTCAAGGCTACGATTAGGAGGGTTAGCGATAGGGCTAGGACACGAACACTGCCTCAGACAGTCCGACACGCATAACTACTTTAAAGGACAAGACCGCGCTTAGTAACTGGAACCTTATGCGACACTGAGCATTGATTTGTTACCCGATTTTAGTTTCTCTAAGGTCTGGCAAGCAGTTGGCAGTCCGAGTCCAGCAAGTTGGTATAGAAAAATCTCGGAACACGGGGGATTTCTGAAAGTCAATAAGCACATTCGTCCTTCATTCTGACAACCGTATGGGGAATTCGAATGAGAGGTTTGTTGGATTTTGCTGTCGTTAGACGGTCCTTCCCAACGTTGGAACCTTGGAGACCTGCGATGCGAGTCCTAGTCCAGTTGGTCATTTAGGCGAACACTTTACTAGTTGAGCTAAGGGATCACGCTCTGTAATGCCCGACTGGTGCCCATCCTGTTTTAGTGCCCACGATGAACGTCGTCGGTAACGATGTTTAAACTGTCATCCAGTCTGCAATGTGTTGGGGTATAGTTCTTGGACGATCCATGTGAGTTAAGCCTGAGGATTTTATTCTAGGTTCATATATTAATTTCTGACGACACTTAACTCCAACGTGGGTAAACTAGAGTCTGTGCCTGAAATCACATGCGTCACCGTGCAGGGCCCATTAATGAATCTAACCACCCCCCACCCCTATTCAGCTCTGCTGTGTGGCCACAGGCGAAATAATTGTTGCGTCGGCGAGGGTCATAAGCAAACCCTAGCCACCACAACCCCCAGGCCCGGTCCCGAATAGAACAAGAAGTTGCACCTCAGTAGAGAGAGAGCACTGTATCCTATACAGAATGAACGGAGAATACGTTGGAGCAAGGTGGTAGCCAGGTAAGGTCACAAGTCCGGGGTCGACAGAGCAGGCGTCTGAGTGTCACCGGGGCAGGCGTCAGAGCCCCTTGAGCAGGGCATATCTGCATCGAACTTGCAGTTGGTCAGGGTATTTCGATAGCTATAAATGGTTGAGGACATGATTACCACTGACACACGCGCGCGAGAGAAGCGGTGTTGCGGTAAGCGCCAGGAATAGCATCACTGCATACTTGCCTAGGCCTTTAGCAAATGCCAATTGTGATAGTACGTTTAAACTACTCACTGCCCGAAACAAAAGTTTCGACATCCGAAAAAATAAGATACAGATGGAATACCAACAACGGAAAACACTACTGGAATGACCTTTCCCGGCCTGTTAACTGTAACTTGGAGTTCGAACCCGAGCTCTCTGGTCATTGAGCGTAAAGCTAAAGGATCTACTAGTATGCTACAGGGGCCCTCTGCCTGCGGTCTGTGTTGTGGACATTTGCCGATTTGGACGCAGCAGAGAGTGTTCTCGCCTGAATTACAATCCACAAGCCGAGTAGTTAGTTTCAGATTCGATCCCAAGATTATCCAAACTTCTGGTCGACTGGTAACGGTCAATAAGCCAGTAATGGCCGTCCCTATTTCTTTTTTTTATAGACGTCCCTTTTGCAATACTTTTCCCTATAAGATTGCTCACGAGAGCTCTGGATCTGTCCAAGAGGGACAAACATGCGACCGGATCATCAACGTATAACTGCCTGGTTTTTCCAGCAGAGGTTCAAGTTCATCACCAGAGAACGACGAAACCGCTAAAAATTATTTATTTACTCCGAAGCTGTCGTCTCCGCACCCGCCTTCGCAGCATCTGGTTAGGCAGTTCTCGATATATAAACGTGAAAAATGTATCTGAACTCGTCAAAAGACAGCTGAAAAAGCATTAGATACAAGTAGCACACCAACCTACAACCACCTTGCGCACACAGCTTGTACACTCTAAGGACAGGGTGGGCTATCTTAATAGAAAACGTGTTGTCTACAAGATCTCATGTACCAGTTGTAATGCTGTCTATTGTGTCCAAACTGGGAAGTCTGCCTCTACCCGCATACATGAGCATCAGATAGCGGTGAGGAGACGAGATCATCTATCCCAGGTGGTCATGCACACACTGGACACAAATTTACATGGGAGAACACCCGCATTGTTGCCGCCTGCCCAATAAGAAAAGGCCGCGAATTCCTGGAGGCAATGCACTCAGATGAGGCATGCATCAATCGGCATATCGGTTTAGATCCCACTTACAAATTTCTCAAGGACAAATGGAAGCGATCGCAGCCAATACCGAGGGGATGACGAAAATAAATGACGCGCACTGACGCAGGCTTCGGCCAAACATAGATTCACTTGTTCGACACAGTTCAATAGTTAACTGTTTTTGTACATAACCCAAAAGTCTGACGACGAGCTGGGGAACCAGACTCGAAAATGTACGCATTAAAGTTTATTCTCTTCCCAAAGAATCTTACTTATTTTAAATTAAATTTCATGGGATGCCCGTTTTCCAGCGCAAACGGCTATTATATATGATGACTAATTGCGTCATAATCAGACTAAAGGGGTTCCTGTAGTTCACTGGCCGTTACACAACGGCTTTGCCCTTAGTTTGCGTGCAGGTGAAGTCAAATGGCTATAGAGTCCTTCATGTGACAAATTACTTGTCCAAATTGGTCATCACGCCTCTCTACACCCTTGTGCTCATGTATCTGTGTTGACAGTTAACTGGCTCTGTGTCTAGTATAGTTGGCGGAGAAGTCGACACACGATACGGCAGACAACAGCCGACTGGTCGCCTCTGTACCATTGATTTATAACCGACTTGTTTTGGCTGTTTGCGTTGTCGGGTTAGCGGGAATGTTTATACGCAGAGCAGACAGAATGCGCTCTGTAGCCTCCGACGCGTCCTTGAAGAAAAGTAAGGCAAACCAGTAACTCGACACAGGCTTCTACTTTGTCCTGTCTAGGTTATGCGCGGGCGTCGGCGCATGAGACTTGGGGACTAACCGTTCTTCGTGGAGTGCGTATTGGTAAAACGAAACGCCTTGGATTTTGCTTGTGACCTAATAGAGTGTATTTCGGATCTTGTGAATGAAGTCGTCAGACAGGTTCGCCCGCATGCCATTGGGTGGTTTCTGCTGTAATTCCTAATTAATGTAGTATTGGAAAATTGTCGGAACGTGTGGATATTGCATCCTCTGATATTGCTCTTGATCACGAGTTTGAAACGCCATTAAAATGCACAAACATCCCCGAGGATCAGGTCGTTCCCCTTTCGAAAAGTACTACTGACAAGGACAAGAGAGACTGAGATTAGTTTTCTGGATTATCTTTCGTCAGCAGAGAACTTTACTAAACACCCAAGCTGGGAAATTTCGAGGCCTGATCGAAACAGTCTGCAATCAGGACAGATGGAAAAACACCACTTTCGTAGGACTTTCAGCAAGCCCACTTGCTACCGACAGTGCTTGAGACCATGGTTAAATATAAAAGTGTTGGGCATATTGCTTGAGGAAAAAAACAGCCAGTTCAGGGCTCTGCGTCCGGCCAGCCTGGGGCTGCAGCATAGCTGGCCGATGATGGGGTATGATCCAGAAACGGCCAGCGAATTCTACCCTTTCTTTGCCGCGTACGCTTCTCGCTCGCTGGTTGCTCGTCGTAGTGCGACTGCCTGCAAGGTCCCATGACAAGAAGTCGGGAAAAAAAACAAAATATATATTCCGTCCTACAGTCCAGTTGGCCTCGTAAGAAGCACTCCAAATGACTCTTCTGGTGATGATTGCAAATCGGTCCCAATTCTACGAATTGTTCCTTGCATTCCGCAAGAATTTTAGCAGTCCGACAGAAGACATTTCCAACTGCCTAACAGTTGACCTGGGTATTCGACAATCAATCGATTTTCTAGACAGCGTCCCCTGTTAGGATGTTCAGAGCTGTCCGATTCACGCCCTGTGTTAGGCAGCAACTATTGTCGGATGAGTGATCTCCGATTCGCGAAGGTCCATTTGTAAGTGCGTCCGCGGTATTTACGATAGGCGGACAAGTCCCCTTCTTGTGGGAACCTTGCACATCGTACCCGGTCGTGTTTGACACGCGTAGATTGAACATTGAGATCTGTCAACAACATTTGCCCAGTCTCTGCATCAAATGGCTGACCGGCTCGGACAGCGAACGGACACATGGAGGGGGGAGGAGAAAGAGTGAGGCCGACTCTATGAACTCCGCCTCCAGGGCACTTCAGTGCGTCTGTGGCGGTCAAGGATGTGAGATCAACTTAACCCACGCGCAATAAGTTCGTTTCGTCTTATGTCAGAAGTCAGGGAGCTGTGAGGAGTAGTTTATTCTGTACACAGGACAGGTTGCCGTAAGTTGGCTGTTTGTTTGCGACAGAGATAAGCGTCCGTTCACGGAGAGCGTCAGTCGCGGTGTGTTGTTTACACGGAAGTGAATGTCTGTGTCAGTAGGTGGGGGTGACTGGCTGAGTGCTGGTCATGAGATTGGACGTATTAGGGGGACGCATAATCACAGGGGCTCACCGGTATCAAGCCAGGTCGTTCGACGAGCGTGAGGTGATAATATTTTGTGAGGGCAGCCGGGAGTCATTGCAGCTGGACAGGAGGGGCCCCAGTTCTAGCCGGTGGGGGTGGTCGTGTGTCGACGGCCTGTCAACGATGGTCGCGACCATCGACCGACAAAACGGGACCGGAGGAAAGGGGGACTGGAGCAGCTGCCACACGTCCTTCACTATAGCCAAACTGATGAGCTTTGAAACTATCATGACACACTAAAAGCAGTGGCTTGGGTGGCCGTCAACTGACGAAAAACCTCAGTTTTCTCAGGACGAAGAGTCATACTCCAATGGGTCCTTCTTCATTTGGCCTGTATGGCTTTCCCAATCGGATGAATTCCGAGCAGAGCACTTCCTACTTCTGTAGAAACCTGATTCACCGCGCGCGTATGGATAGGCCGTTTAGATTTGTCAACTGCTGCACGCGATCCCGTCTCCGGTCGTCCAGACTTTCTTGCCATCGGATCCAGGTGGAGGGGGGAGGGGAGTATTATGGATGTTGCGAAAGCCTGCTACCCTTAATTCACACGCAGATCACCGTTCTGCGTCCGTAATGCTAGAGGACACACGATGGATATTGCCGTTCGCGACGGTCGAACTGACAAGTGGGCAAATGCTTGATCAGTCAGTACATCCATGCAGACCTCCAGTTGTCTAGTTGTTCAAGCACAATGAATATAGGAGAAGGCGACGTCGGTTTTACGCGAATCTCCTTCAGTATAGTTCCACCTAGCAGGAGGTCACCGCAAACTACACCAGCTCTGCAAACGCTAAGGCTATGGGTGTTACCGCACAATGCTGTTTGGTTGTAACTGTACACCGCCAGATACCCGGAGGTTTTTAGCATGATTCGAGCCCTGTTGTGATACGTTTAGAAGAGTTAATGAGAGCGGGTTGGTCTCCTCATGTTGTCTGGCCGCATTCGCACGCATAACAATCACTGGTTTTCTCATAAACGAAAGGAGTGCGCTAGTGAAAGGATAGTGCAATGAACCTATGTACGTCATCTGCGACTCTTTCTAGGTCCATGTTGAATGTGCACATCAACGGCGTCGTTAGATTCTGTACGGCTCCCATACCCCCTCCGACCGATAGGTTTGGTGAAATTTGGCCATGAGGCCCTCATGATGTAGCACATTCTGACCAATGTCCACCGAAACCAATCGACTCCAAGGCGGGCGTGGACATGGCTCCGACTCGCTTAAGCACTAGACCTCTGAAAACCTCACCGACGACTTTGCTTGTGGAGAGCACTTAAGTAAGATAAATTTAAATAATAGATTGTATTATCTAGCACCTATGCGGGCACTATACTGGACAGCTTCTACCTAATCCATCATACGCACGCGCACTCACGGCAGTTTATTCGTTATGGATGAACTCTGTATGCGATCTTTGTCCTTCCAACCAGAAGCTTGCATTGTGGCGCTTTCACGATAAAGATGCACTTCCCCAAACAATCACAGTCATTCAAAATGACAAACAGGATCTGAGACAAAAGTGAGCATGGCCATTCCCAACTAATCGATAGTTCGTTTCACCCAAACGACGAAGACCTTTACTGTACTGAAGACAGCTCACTGGTGAGTTGCAAGTGGATTTATCTGCAGTGAAGTAAAATTGATCCGCGACCACCTCACTCCTCATTCGAACACCCACCATGTTCTGGTGGCATAATAACTTCAAGACCATCAGAGGTTGGCACGAGTGCTGTGATTGACAGTGTGAAATCATCCGTCCATGCGCACCATGCACGTGCTGGCCCCTCACCCTCACACGAACCAGCCTGAAAGGGGGTACCTTGTTCTCTCAGGAGCAGAGGGTGTTTAGGAGAGTACTGAGTGAAACACGACCTGCTTAGACACCTGTAATAGGCATTCTTTGTACGCTGTAGATACTTGGGGGCCTTCACCGGATCCATACCGAAGGCTACGTTGATAGAAATTCATTTCTGGTCGGACCTTCCGTCCGAAGGACGACCGAGGATTTCTGTCGTCCGGGAGGTTCCAAAACCATGAATGAGAGCGCTCTGTAGTTACTTCGAGCACTTTTGTCGCCTATACTTGAAGTAAATATGTAAAATCCGAGTTGGATATACCTGTTCCCCTTTGCTATCCCATACTAGCTGTCTGTCCGATTGAACCTGACCGAGGATAATATTAGACGCGGCAGTCGGTGTGATGCAAAGTTCCTGCCTAACAACAGTACGACCGTAGCCAACGATGTCCACTGTTTGCCCCACAGTGTGATAGACGTAGGACGGTGACTTGTGTACAAACTAGTTTATAGTGACAGCAAACTTGTACAGCATCTGCCACACCCTCTCTTCCCTCAACCACACAGACCCGGGAGTAAGAATAAGTCAAAAAACCTGAAGGCGAGATTGGGCGCAGGTGGCTGACACGACGTGAGCTAGCGTCCCTCTCAGCGTGCCTGGCCCGTATCTGCTTCAGCGCAAATTCCACATAGTCCGTTTTAGGGGATACACCTGTATTGAGCACGGGAGACAACACAAACGATGCGTCTTAGGAGACACGGCGGGGTATATAGCACGGAAAACGCTATAGGTTGGAGGTTAGCCAGTCAATACCTACAGTGCATGACCTATCTCATGAAATGTTGGCTGAAATTCTGAGATGAGTTTTCGATTAGGAAGGATTACTTGGTCGCGATTGTGAAACCGATTATCTCAAGGCATACTATTATAACATTTTAAACTCGGCAGGATATCGGCTTTAAAATGCAATTCTTTTCAATCCCCTGTAGAAATCGTGCTCGGTAAAAAATGACTACTTAAGTAGCATGCATTTTTTCCCATAGATTTTCGATGGCCTTGGAAATTCAAATATGTTTTATAGAAACAACAAACAAAAATATGCTTTCTTTTAGTCAATCAATAGAAAATCACGTCTTCTTTATATTTTATACTTAAGGAAGGAGTATAATTAGGTTTTAAACAGTTTCTAATTATGAGACTTCTTAAGACCGCGATGTGTCCATTCACATAGCATCGTACCTGGCCGTTTGCGACTGCTCCTCATGAAATTTACAACATGGTCCGCATCCATTGCAAAATTTTATGGGCTCTGTATGATATCTCTTTAATGACATAGAAAAAATGTGGGATTTTCTTTAAGCGGAACGCATGCACCTTGTAGAGTGTAATCTTTAAGCGCTAATGCAACGAATGATCAGGCTTCAAAATTTTCGGCAATAAGAAAACTTTTTTAAAACCTAACTATACTCCTTCCCTAAGTATGAAATATAAAGAAGACGCGCTTCTCTATTGATTGACTAAAAGAAAGCATATTTTTGTTAATGGTTTTTATAAAACATATTTGAATTTCCAAGACCATCGAAAATCAATGGGAAAAATTCATGCTACTTAAGTAGTCGTTTTTTACCGAGCACGCTTTCTACAGGAGATTGAAAAGAAGTGAATTTAAAAGCCGACATCCTGCCGAGTCCAAAATGTTATAATAGCATGCCGCAAGATAATCAGTATTACAACCGCGACCAAGTAATCCTTCCCAATCGAAAACGGATTTCAGAATTTCAGCCAACATTTCATGAGATAGGTCACGCACTGCACGAGTTCTGATCAGGCGTCTATGATCTCGACTGTTCGCTCGCCACGTGAATCTGCCTTTGTCTAGATATTTTAACGAGCAGAATATAGCGCAAACGGTAGCTACTCATTTTGAGGAAGAAATTGTGGATCCAACAACGAGAGGTTCAGTTGAGGGAGATCTCACGGGGACTGGGTATTGCTCTGTCAGACAAAGCCTGTCTCTGTTCCGGAAAGCAAATGTAGCAGAATTTTTCGCGATTAATAAGACTATTTAGAACATTCTGAACAGTGTACAGGCCTCGAAGGTAAACGGACCTACGAGCCGGAGGCAATCGAATTAGTTTACGAGAAGGACGGGAGATTCCGTGTCTTTCTACCTAGAAGAAAAAAATCCATAAATCTTATACGAACAACAGGATTCTTGAGGACAAAGCTGCACCCTACAAGTTTCGGCAAAAATATAATAGAAACGGAAAGAGGTACCGAGCACTTGACTGGCCGAAAATGGCAAAAAAATCCGAAGATACGTTCACCGTAGTTAAATGATGACTACACCGTGGTCAGGATGTGGATATGTAGTCGTTGATGGAGCTAAAGAGATCCCAGATTCCAGACCGTTTAACGGGGTATTCTTGGGACGCCTACGGCAGTTCTACCCTCTGTTCGTGTGTTCGTCACATTCCAATTCCAGAACACTTAACACTGACGATTTTCATGTTACCCTCATCTGTCTCCTCCTCTCGCTCGTAGGTATTGTCCATGCAGCCACTGTAAACAAGAATTAATCACATGCGCATTCAGGCGGGTTCCCGACATAAAAAATACGCGACGTGGCTGTAAGTACGCTGTCTTCCCGTATTAATTCACCATCTCGACCAAGCACGTGAGCCCCATAAAATACCAAAAAATACAGACAGGCTTTTCCAACTTTACATACAGAGCATGCGTCGTCCGCCTATTCTTCCGAAAGCCTGAGCTTATCGTCGTTGCATGAGTGGGAGTCTGACATCCTTGTTCTACGACTTCATGCCCCTAATTTGACGACTGTGTGCCGGCTTCAGGTCACCCGTCATCTTCGTGAAGAAAAGGTACGACGTCCTTATTCTTTCTGAATTGGACGTCCAAGCTCATGAATATTTAAAATGTGGTTGGAGTGCTGATTCCTACTAAATATGATGTCTGATCATTTCGAATAGTCTTCCTCGCCGAATAGCCATCTAATAATTTTCCAACCTAATAAGGTATTCCCAAAAACAGAAATAGATCGATCTTAGTCGTATGTCTTTGTTCAATCAGTTTTCGATGGCTATAAAAGTTCAGCTATTCAGTCTCCAGAGATGATTTTGCAGAAAATAAGGTTTTTCTCTGATCCTATGCTTGAAAACACGGTCCATTTTCGTTTAAAAGGCTAAGTAAGCCCCGTATTTTTCAAATTTCAGTTCCCTTTTACATGCTCGCGAGCGTTCCAATCTCAATAAATCCGTTCCTTGACGATCTCCCAGTATTGGGGGACAAAGTAACGTCTACAATATACTATCAGGTATCAGGAAGGATTAGCATGTTTCATGAATAGACACAGTAAACCATTGAATACTGACTTATATGTACATTTGTACAAACATCTCAAGAATGTCAAAAGGAATGATTTTTTTCAAAACTCGATGTTCTGGGTTTTAGAGTAAACATTTTTAATTGACAAGAATTGGAACAAAACGACCACGGGGGGTTTAAGTTTCCGCCCTCCCCTTCGAAAAGAAATACGACACACTTTACAGTAGTCCGAACGTAAGGCAAAATGCATGCTTTTCCCACTGAGAGTTACTTCTGCGTGGAATTGGCGGGAGCAGTCAGAAGGATTCCCGCCTACAAACTACTTAAAACAGCATGAAAAGTGAATCGAAAACATGCACAAAACTCCTCATGCCTGCAGCACCAATTTGGTAGCTTTTTGTATTTGACAGAAAAGACTACGCACCTCAGTCGAAATTCCACCAGGTTAGGCACCTACTGCGCAAGCACTGACCATCGATCTTCGTCCTGTAAACAAACTCGACATCACTGGAGCCACGGCGCCAACTGAAGCTTTACTTTGCTCTAACAGCCCTTATCACAAGCAGCGCACACTGCAATGAAAATGGCCTTCCACGATTACAAGCCAATCGCCATGTTTACCGATCTCGCGGCGTCCATTTCCGCATGCACCCGTTGGCACTGTGATGAAATTGAGACCGTCCGGGGCTGAGGCATGACTAGCTCGTCTCATTCGTTACGCTGATGACAACTGAAATGACTCCGCTGCCGACAGTGCGAACTTTCGTGCTGCTATGAATTTGCCTGAAAATGTCCCGGAATAGGTTCGGATGCCCGAATTTACTTGTCTGCAGTGGTGTTCTCTTCAACCGATGAGGTGTCGTATGATCCCCATCGTATCGGATCGAAAGTACTGATGATATACAAGCTCAGTGCGATGATGAACTTGACCCGCAGGCATGGAGAGAGGATGTAAAGAATGTGAACGAAAGATAAACGAAGTCGATTAATCTGTAGGCCTGCCCATCAATGACGGAGGGAACGAAATTGTTTTTAAGCAGCATTTCTAACCAGAAGAGTACTCCTTGTTATTACTGTTGTCTATGAACCTCGTAAACCGGGAACACTCAGCAACTGAACCTCTGTTAGCATTTACATTAAAAACCCTCAAATTTTGACAACGCCTCTCGTTCGTGCCTCCGGCATTTCGACGGAAAATCAACCTAACCCT